TGTGTTAAAAATTGATTTCAGTAACTTGACTGACCTTTCATAAATAAATGCAAAAAGCTGACTCGAAAATTCCATACACAGAAAGTTGCTTTATCCATTTATACCGAAGAAAACCGAACACAAAAGTTCAAATACTTAAAAAGAAAATATATTTTAAAGAAATAAACAAAAAATTTTTAGCGTTACACTGAAGCCGTTTTAATCCACCTAATGTGCTGTCGCTATTCGAACTCAATCCTCTGTGCTATGAATGACCACACTTTAAATACGATTGGAATGTGGATGTGCCTATACTGAGTGTTCTGTCGTCGGTAAAAGAGGACATCTCCCCAAGTGATTCAACAGCGACAAAAAAAGAAGTGTAAACAAAAAGTTATAACTACTTCCGCACCGACGTGATCTCTACTCAATACAGCTCAGAGAGAGTAATTCTTTTCGTTTTTTCTAAAAAGCCGTTTCAAATAAAAGTAGTTCCATTATGCCGTGTTGATATTGTCTGCTTTCCCCAAAGCTCATATTGCTTAACAATAGGAAAAGAGTAAATTTTCTTGTTGATTAGATCCAAAACTGTTTATGGGATTATGACAGCGCCTCGCAATAATAGAGCCCTCTGTATATTTGACTTGCTAAAGGCAATGTTAAGTTGTTATTTTGAAAACTTATCCCTCTGTATATGTATACATACATACGCACGTACGCACGTATAAATAGGGCATTGGACTTTGGCGACTCATGTATATACACTTTAATAAAATTGCAATGCTTTGCCCGAAAAGAACTTCACTTCATTCTCTGGATTTTGTGCCTTTTATGGCCTTTCCGAGGCAATTAACTAATAATAAGCAATTTACCGACGAGCTTCGCAATGCAATGCTCCCTCTCTCTCTCTCTCTCTCTCTCATATTCCGTGAATCAGAATTTCACAATTATTTTTTCTTGTACGTGTATTAAGTGTTCAAAATTAATAGAATGATGAAATTTGTGCATTTTGTCCGTTCAGAAGCATCGCGTTTGCTGTTTGAATTTTAAAATAGAAATAGCTTGGCAGCTAAGGCGGGAAAGTCGTAATTGACAGTGACAGTTGAAATGCTTGCGAAGCTACATTCCCGAAGTTACTTCTTCTACGTCTCTCGTCATCACTCACTGATGTTAACCAAATCAAATTTTGAGTTGTCTCCAAACATTCATTGGCCGCTACTAGATCTCGACATAACCTAAACTTGGGCATTAGTTTCACCAGCCGAGCAAATGGTAGGTTCAAAATCCCAAAAAAAAACAATCAGGCCGATCAGTGCAAGCATGCACTGCTTAACAAATGCGACGACGGTGCTTCAAAAGCAGTCAAAAGTATCTTAACTTACCTACTTAACTACTGGAAACATCGAAAGAAAATAAGCACGATCCGCCCGCATGTATGTATACAAGAAAGCAAACAAACCTAGTCGGATCATTCTTCATCGTGAAACGGTGAGCCCTCACATATCTTTTCTAACGGGGAAAATTTGAAGTTGATGGCTTTATTTCAGCGGCAAGAAGAATGACATATAACAGATATTACATAGACGGACAGACGGACACGCTTAAATCGATTCAGAATGCGATGCTGGCCAAGAATATATCTGCTTAATTCTTGGCGTTCCAAACATTTTGACAAAATGAATACACTTCTCATCTTTCCGTGGTAGGTATAAAAATGCTATGGCAAATCTAGCAAAATATGTAAGAGTGTATATGTATAGATCATAAAGCAAAATATTTTGATAAATCTGTGAAATTAATACATAGCCCACGGTCTGCCGTTAAATACTCTGCACAACTCCACATATATTCATGTGATGGGTTTTTCAAGAAGGGCATTATAAGGGAAGTGGTCGAAAATGTGGCACGATCCGAACCATTCCGATTAAATTTCATTCTTTGGCCAAAGCAGGTCAGTATACCAAATTTCTTTAAAATATCTCGAAAATTATGAGCTGAAGGTTGAACACAAGAAATGAAGACGGACGGATAAGTTTCAATCTGTTTCTGAATCGATCGATGTAATAAAAAGTGGTGGTGCCGCGGGCCAGATTTGTTGTTTGTTTCATGCACTTGCACTTGGATTAAAAAAAAAGAAGAAAGATTATTTTATTTATTAATTATTCTTGATTATTTGTAAGCAAACTTTTTTATTTTATCAAATTAATTTTGATATCAATTACATTAAATTAGCTTCTTTTACGTTGTTGTTCCAACGGTTTACGGCGTGCATGGTGATAGCCATGTTATAGTTTGGTACGCATTCGCATTTGGTACGGGAGTCGAAAAATTGGTGTTTATGGATGGTATTGTAAACAAGGAGGGTTAGTTGAGGATACTGAGAGAATTTTTTTTTTTGGCAGAAACTACAGACAAACTTCGTGTTTTGGACACATTCAACGAACGAAACGTACATCTGATTTCCGTTTCAAGAAAACCTACACCAAACGTTTATAAGAAAAATTCATCTGATTTTCGTTTCGAGAAAACCTACACCAAAAATTTATAA